GCTGGCAGCGTGTGGCCACCCTATGCGAGGAAGGGACTTGGGAGCTTCCCTTCCCTCCAGCTCCAGCCTCTTCGCAGCTGCCTAGTGCGGGAGAAGGGCAACAAGCACAGAAACACCACAGAGTTCCTGTTTATGCAGGAGCTCCAGCACATGTGGTGCTTTCCTCTCTGGCCAGGTCTCCTGGGTGCCTCTCCTAGGTGCAGAAGTGTCTGCACGTGCTGCAGGGGCGGTTGTTGGAAATTTTTAAAGAAGTCCCCAGGACTCCCTCAGTGTTTCATGGCCACTGCTCCCTCTCTCCTCCCAATGGTTGGATTAAATTGAGGTTTTCCTTGCGCAGTAAAAAATGAGGTTTACAAGATCTGTCGAAAATGGCTTTATTTTCGACAGATCTGCATCTAGACTGCCGGTTTTTTCGAAAAAACTCTGTTTTGAAAAAAAGCGGCAGCCATGGTTATGCTAATGAAACACGGGATATTCAAATCCCTGCTTCATTAGCAATTTGGATTACATCTCTCTACAGAGAGGTGTAGTCTAGACACAGCATTATTGTTTTTACAGTTTACCAAATGTTTGTGAATAAACATGGTTTTGGTTTGTTTTCAGTTTTGAGCTTGGTTCAGGACTGACTTCTATTTTTTTCCTTTAGAATTTTGTGTCAGGAAGAAGCATCTCATGGTCACTGATTCTTATTATAATAAATGAAAAGGGTTCTTTCCTTAAAACACTCCACTAATTAACTGCCTTTTGAATACTCTTTTAGATAAATAGACATAATTGGTGCAACTCATTTTGCTTTTGTAATCAGTTTCAGAAACACTTAGTATCATTTAGATGGCTAAGCAACTTGTGATGTCTAAAACCTATCATTTGCACCTATAAGTATGCTCAACGTGTATAATGGCATGATATTATAAAAGACTTTTAAAATGTATTCCAATTTATGCAGAGTTGTTCTTATATAAATATTTGCAACTAATTATATAGAGCTGTGTAAGAATGTGAAAAATTGTACTATAGCTACCAAAGAAGGTGGCAAAATCAGCCATGTATGAAATATATGCACTAAGAACACTTAAAACCATTTTAGGTAATGAACAATATTTCCAAATAACCTTCCTTTGGTAATATTTCCTCGGTAATAGCAGTGTTCCTTATTTCCTGCAAATATTGCTCTAGTGTTATTTAGTTATTACAACAGATGACCAACAAGTGTGACCATTGTTATGTGTGGATTTTTTTCATTAAGCATTTCCTAGATTAGTCATTCCACCTTGTAAGGTGATTTGTTAGAGCTCATAAGCAGAACAATGAAGCACTATAAAATTATTTAACTTGATCACATTTAACTATGAAACATAAACAGGGCCCCTAGAGTAGAGCAGCATGAAGTGGTGTGGTGGTAATGTTTCAGTAAAGGCGTTTATCCCACTGTTTCTTGTTATTAAAATGTGCATATGTTAAATTGAAGTTTTTCCTCTTTTCTTCTGAAATGACACATTTGGAGATATCATCTACCAGTGTTTGTAACACCAGAATCACTTCCATAGGAGTTTGTTGTAACAGCTCAATGCAGAGAATTGTGATGTCACTGAATACATTGGACAGCAGGAAGTAAAGGAAGCATAAAGAAAGAGGGAAATAAAGATGCTTTCTATGAATCCAGATTTTTACATAGTGTCTGTCAATGAAATAACTCAGAACTTCACCTTTCATTCACTTATGGCAATTATGGTGAAAATATGTCAACGCAGTTATGGTTTTATTTGGGTTTAGAGGTCAAACTGGAAGGAAACACATTAAATGAGAGGTTAGTTGGACCCTCTTGAAGTGTTACTGAACTGGTTTAGGATTAGTGTCTAGATCACACATTAACAGCAGAAGCATAGTAGAAGTCAAGGGAGGGACTACACCCCATACCATATGTCCTTGGAGGAGATAGGCACCATTTTACATTAGCTTGTAGTCTTCATGGTGTTTTCATATTCAGCTTTACATACAATGAACTGCAGGTGATCAAATATGTGTTGTTATACAACTATAATTAAGATATGTCAAGACATTTAAAACCACTGGGAGCACATCTTTTGCTGAAGACCATAGGATTAGAAATCCCTCTGTACTGTCACATCTGAGGTTTTGTATTGGAATATAATGAGATAGCTGACACATACGTTACTCAATAATACAGATCTCAGACTACCTTTCTTAAATTTAATCTCCTATATCCCTTTGTTGTGCATTTGTAAATTCAAGTCAAATCTCTCATGAGATGTAAGCCATTCTCTGTAACCCATTTTTTTCTGTGCTCATAAATATTTTCTGACAAAATTTGCATTCTTTCTGAGAAATCTATTTCCTTTCATTGCGCTCCTCTTGAAGACAATGAAGTTTTTGCACTCTGTGTGAATAATGGCCAGAATCCACAATGTATCTCTTCACCAAACTTCAAACTCAATGCAATCAATCCTCTTAGAAGCTGTGTTCTTCTGGATTCATTTGATATAGTGACAACACTTCTTCTAAAAAGGGCAAAGTGACAGGGCACATACAGCATGGTAAGGCATTTTAGTTCCCAAGCTTTTACTGACACTAAGTGGCAAAGATAAGAACAGCAATCACTTTGAATAAGATTCTTGTTCCTCACTGTAAAATTAAAATAGCAAAAAATATATTTTTTTTAAATTGCAGGGGAGATTTGAGTGGAGTATTATAGAGGTGACATGTTTACAGATTGGGTAGGATTGAGGTTTCAAAGGGCACTTCTCTGATTTACTTATTCCTTTCCCTATCTTTTCTCTTTCCTTTTTGAATCTCTTCTCCTCTGCTCATCTTAAACTCTCTTCCCTCTCCACTTTCTGTATCTCTCTCAACTCCTTCTTTTGAATTGCAATATGTCTAGGGCTCTGTACATGGCTTGCATGTAACATTAAATCATGGTTTGTTCAGGGATTCTTTTATTGTTTCAATCCTAATTTTCTATGATAAAACTCCTAAAATTGTCTGATTGAAAAACTCCTTAGAAATCTGTGGTTCTCATGATTAAAATAAAATACTGAACTTTAGTTTCCCTAGCCAGAGTATATATAAGTATCAGCTGAACACAATGTTTTATTGATATGCCCCTTTATCTGAGCCTTCATTATCTGGATTTTTGTATTAACCAAACCATCTGCCCTCTGGGTGGTGACAGCAGTTGGAGCTCTAGCAGTCATCCCTGGACTACTGGGACTGACCACCCTAACTCTCCTTCTCGCCCCCTTTCTTCCCCTCCCCGCCCCAGCTTCAAATAGAGGACAGAAAGCAGAGGCTCTTTCCTGGTAGCAGCTCTGAAGTTGCATGATGGCTGAGGACTCTACCCAGCATTCCTTGGGCATGGCAGACACCAAGAACTGGAGGGAGCAGTATACCTGATATACGGATTAAAGCAGTCAAGTTCAGTAAAACGCAATCTAGAATATCAGTGTACAGCTGATTATTCTGGGATCAGTCTACTGTCTTTCCTCCCAAATAGCAGGGTCCAGTTAACATAACTTTCACAAGCCAAACCCTGGAGGGTTTATCTGTTCAGATTTACTCCTTTCTAGGGTACATCTAACAGCAAAGATCTGCACACACTGTTAAGGAGGTGGGCAATAACATCACAGCCAGTAGCAGATAGCATTATTCCGACTCCTGTAACTCTCATTGTATGAGGAATAAGGGAAGTCAGAGAAAGAGTGCTCTATTTCAAAATAAGTTCTGTGTAGACGCTCCATATTTCGAAATAAGCTATTTAGAAATAAGATACGCAGTTGATGTAGCTCAATTTGCATAGCGTCTTTCGAGTGAAGCCCTCCAGTGGAGACACACTCTGAGACTGCATCTTCCAAAAAATGAGGAAGAATGGCTTTTGCGCAAAAGGGAGGTTTTGAGCAAAAAGGAGACATCTACACAGCCCTTTTTTGTGTAAAAACCTCTTGAGCATCTGACGAAGTGGGTCTTTGCCCATGAGAGCTTATGCTCCAACGCTTCGGTTAGTCTATAAGGTTCCACAGGACTCCTCGCCACTCTTGAGCAAAAGGGATCCGAAGAGAAACTGCAAATGAGACCATAACATATGCAAATGAGCACTCCATTTGCATTCCTTGTGCGGAAGAGGCTTGTAGTATACACACAGCCTTAGTGAGCTCAAGACTCCAGACTAAAACTCTAAAACCTGCTTCAATTACGGGAAGAGTTCAAACACAGATTTGCACTCTCCTCTAGCTAATATATGGGCCACACACCAAATCACTGACATTAAGGAAAGTTTGGATCCAGCTTCAGATTTGAAGACATGACCCATCTTGGCTCAGGGCAGAAGGATGTACAAAGGATTAATACATTTGCTGTTGTGGTAAAATTGCTGACGTGGTGGATGGGGCACTAAAGGAGCCAGTTTCAGAAGAATGAGAAGCTTTTTAACACTCTTGAAAACAAAAATATTCAGAAACTCAGGCTCTTTGGGGTTTATTTCAGTTTATTACACAGAGCTCTTTTTCCCCTTGGTTTCTACAATCTAGATTTTTACATTGCTTGCTTACTGACTTATTGATTTGCTGCACTCAGATGTAGTAAGAGTGATTTGTCTGGTTTGTAAAACTTTACAGTTTGAATCAATAGGAAAAACAAACTAATTTCTGTGAGCCTTATACTATATAAAATTTACTACATGCTGTTGTACCTGTAAATAACATGGATTGATCTATGTATTAAATCTACAATTCCCAAGCTGTTGTCTTTGGAGAATTGATTGATCACATGACTATAGCTCATTCTTGTTTCTAGCCATTTCTACAGACTTCCAGGATGGTTGGTGTAAAAAAAATTAACTGTTCCACACATTATACTACATATTTAAACCCTTTTTCAGAAAATGTTTCTGCATCTTCTGATTACGTCACTCCTATAAAGCATTGTCCCATTGAAATGTTCCTTCTGCATTTTGTTTTAAACATACTAACCCTTCTTTGCAAATTCAGTTTGTATTGCAGTGTGGAAGAACCATCACATGCGGACAGTTACCAACTACTTCATAGTAAACCTCTCCCTGGCTGATGTTCTTGTCACAATTACTTGTCTTCCAGCCACGTTAGTAGTGGATATTTCAGAAACTTGGTTCTTTGGCAGAACCCTCTGCAAGGTGATCCCCTATTTACAGGTATTGTTCTCCATACCATCGTGTTTGTTAAAAGGAACAGTATAGTAGAATCTGCTTAATTGGGATGTCCTAGTGGAAGGGCTTGATCTGATTTAAAGGTATTTCACTTCTGCTGAATAATTAGCATTCTTGGTAAGTTTTCTCCTTTCCTAGTCAATAAGCATACTGGGACAGATTGTGTGATGCTTGTCCTTGTGTAGTCATTTATGTCAATGCAAAGTGAACATCAAACTTTAAAATATCAGTACAGTGGTGTTTGTCTCCCACATTGCTTGGACATGACAAGATACATTGGGGCCTCTGTAGTTAGAAAGTGGAATTCAGGGTTCCAAGGACAAGTGTCACCTCACCAAGTGCTCTGTATAAATAGCCAGCTATCCTCCCAGGCAGCAGAAATTGCTCATATTCTCCCAGGTAAGCCTCAGTTATTGCCATTCATTATTATTAGACTAAGTCAGTTCTGAGGCCCTTTCCCATGAAGTGATTAACAGTTGTGCTTTCTTTTCCTTATCAGATTAGAAAGGCCAATGTGGCATTTCCAATAAGATAAATCTTTGTACCTTTTCACTGGTGTAAATCCACAGTAACTACATTGAAATCTGGATTTACAGCACAATAACTGAGGTCAGAATCATCCCCCCCCCCCACCAATGAACACAGTATTTCAAAGGAAGCAACATGGGCCATAGTTTTGGTATGGTATAACAACACCATGAATTGATCAGTGATTATGTGTTGCCCTGTGCTCCTCTGTACAGAATCAGAATTGACCAATTTATTTCAGAGCCATAATGCTGCTACAGGAGATTCTTATTGCAACTTCTACTGTTGGTCTGCACCTGGTTTGGAAAATCCCACTGAATGTGGAGAAGATGTGAAACTGTCACTCAATATATTGAGTGGAAGAATACAAGCAATCATTTAGTTTGTAACCAAAGGAAAAATCAAATGATCCAATTGTTATCAGATACAGCTGGATTATTTTCTATGTGATAGTGATTTTCCATTGGCTTTGTGAAAACTGGGAAGAGATTATATTGATAGCACATCCAATGAGATAATGTATCCAACAAAGCAAGGTGTAACTAGAGGGTTTTAAGCTTTATTTTCAACTTGTGAAAATAAACACTTTTGCAAATAATACTTTTGGGATTTAAGATGGTTGGTTTTACTCTGAGGCCTGATTCTGACATACTCAAATTGAGCATTCTGTGAGTTCTCCTGTTGATTCCAGTGAGACTACGCACACATTAAGATACTGCTGAGAGTGAGTTAGGCTGGCAGATTTAGGCTTATGGGAATTTTGTGACAAGTGATATAAAAAGGGATTTGTTTTTCTTGAAAGGATTACTGTTTAATAGCCTCTGTTCATGGGACATCAACTATAATTTGATTTCTGATGGTGTCAAAAATATAAATGGTGTTCAAAGTTAAAAATTGGAAAAGTTGACACAATATTTCCCTGTTTCCTTAGACTGTGTCAGTCTCTGTGTCTGTACTAACACTTAGCTGCATCGCTTTGGACCGCTGGTATGCAATTTGTCACCCTTTGATGTTTAAAAGCACAGCCAAGAGGGCAAGGAACAGCATTATCATTATCTGGATTGTGTCCTGCGTTATAATGATTCCTCAGGCTATTGTTATGGAGTGCAGCAGTGTGTTCCCAGGATTAGCTAACAAAACCATCCTATTCACAGTTTGTGATGAGCAGTGGGGAGGTAAGTGTGTTATTGATCATAAGAGTGGAACTTACACATGCTATAATGAAAATAGCCTGGCATGTTAATATGTAGTAGGACTGTATATGCATACCACAATGTTTTAAGCTCTTTCTTAATTATATGGTTCTTGAAACTGCTCATTTTCAGAAACTGTTGCAATCCATCTTCCTTTGCCTTGGTAATGTTCAAAGTAAATTGGAAGCCAAGTTTAGATGGATGTGCAATAAGAGCCCCTTTGTGTCTTGACTATGTTCATGTTCTCCATAAGAACAATTGTTCCCATCCTGTAATGCTTATACTTATTGAGAAGAGGAAGTTAGAAGTGTATAAGAACTGCAAAAATCAGGTCCATGGAGTTTATTTCCAGAGAATAGACTTTGATCCATTTTCCTGGGAGGATGACTTTGGCAATTGTCTATCATATAAATTCTTCCAAAGTCTCCTGGAACTACAATATACAGAATGTATAAACGTGCTAGCAATATAGGAAGCAGTTCATTCAACAATTTGGAATGGACAGCATTATTAAAGTTATTTAGAAAACATGATCTATTGCAAATAATTGTATCCAAAAAGTACAAATCAGTCCTTCCAGATTACTCTTGTACTGTGAAGTGCTAGAATTTGAGATGCTTTCATGTAGTCTCATTCCCTGTTGCAATTAGTCCTGGCCACATCCTTGAACTATTTGAGATCAACTCTGGTGGGCCCTGGAATAATTCTAGCACTAATAATGCATGTGAGTTGCACACTGAGACCCTGACACTGGATTCAGTCACCAGTATTATACCTCTCGAGGCTGGCACCTGACTGGTGCTGAACCAGAGAATTTGCTGAACCACAAGGGGTCAATATTGTCTAGCAGCATTACCAACACTTCCACTGCTTACTGGGCTCTTAGGAAATATTTAGTGGTAAATTCCTGCTAAATAACAGCATAGAACATTGAGAGCTAAGGCTGGTGGCTGCAAACAAACTATGAGACCATGATAAACTTTGCCACAGCCAGATGTCCACTTATCACGGGTATCTAAAATGATCCTGGACCACTAATGGTGCCAGACTAGAGAGATTCAACCTGTACTATTATTCACATTTGGGAAAGCAAAGCCAGGATTGCTGAGACATATAGCTAAAAGAAACTTGGTTAACCACTTCAAGTCAAACTAAAATACAATCAGATTCTCTTTCAAGGTTGTGTTTTTTTAAAAAAACAGTCCATCACTGTGATCAGTTTTGTTACATTGTAATCATGTTGTATTTTCATGTATTGTGACTGGTTACTTAAAGCAAACTTGCCAATCAACTGAGAAGGACTCTGATGTGATATTTAGAAAGTTTAGAAGGTTTCATGTTGGTCCTGGAATCATAACTGAGCCTATCAAATTTGCTTAATTGTAAGTTCAACTGTAAAAAGTATGTAACAATAAGATATCACAATAACCTATAACAATCTTCACCATTTCTATTCAACTACTTTTTTCTAACCTATCCTTTCAGACCCTTCTTCTGTCTCTCTTTTTCCAGTCTGCAGGCTGTCCATCCCTTATGCCTTAGATCCAAACACTTTTCATTCCACTTCCCTCCCTGCAGATGAGTGATAGGCGAGGAACGGTTGAGATTGCCTATATAGTGGTCTATCTAAAATGAAGACTCTTCCTTCCCTCTGGCATATGTGTGAAGGACTAAAGAGTTGGGGTTTTCAGCTAAGCAGTTGAAATGACACTACTTATCTTTATGCAGAACACTGATGTATGTTCCCATTTAGCATCAGTCTGAGTATGGTGGGAGGGACAAAGTCATCTGATAAATGACCAGTCCTTCCTCCTGCCTGCTGCTGTAATTACTAGACAGCCTGAAAGCTTTATTTTAGCTTAAGAAGCTAAACAGATTCACGCTTCTTAAGTAAAAGTTCTGCACAGCTCATTGCCCTGGGTGGAGGAGGAATGCAGGTCTCCTTTGATGTTCAGCATGCTAGTACTTTGCAGGTGGCTGAACTTCAAAGGAGAATGCGGGCTTCTTCCTCCAACCTGGCCCATCAGCACTTTGTACCTAGTCAGGCTGCTTTCATGTTTTCATTTTACTCAGACTCCTAAATTAGAAGCCATAAACTGCTGATGATACGTTGCTGCTTGCAGAGCTCTTATGAGACAGGTGACAGTGCCGTGGGAGCAGGAGGAATCTATTCTCAGCACTCTCATTGACTTCCTATGGTCTCAGTAAATCACATAAGCTTAATTTCTCCAGCAGTTAAACATGAATGCCTGTCTCACAGGCAATGTTCCCTCTAATTTTTTTTTACATCCATGTGCAGAATTAATGTTGTTATATGCTCTAGGTATGTTAACTATTGGTTAATTGAATAGTCAAGTAACGTCATGAATTCTTATTAGTTAATCAACTATTCTATAGTCCTGAGGGTAGGGCTGGCAGCCGCTGTATCAGAGGCAGCAGTGCAGAGTGTCAGGCAGGAGCTGGTCCATTAAGGGAACTAGTTTAAAAACCAGTTCCTATTGTGGACCAGCTGCCTGTTGCCCAGTGCTGCTGTCTCTGATAAAGAGGCAGCAGAAAAGGGTGGCAGCAGCCCCTGTCCTGGACTCGGCATAAGCTGGAACTGAGCCAGGCTGCCTACCTGCCTTCCTGGCTCCTAATACACTTTAAATGCAGAGCTGCCGAAGTAATAGATTCTGGACCCAGTGCGAGCCAGAACTGAGCTGGGCTGCTGGCCAGCCTGCTAAAAAATTTACTGGCAAGGGAGGCAGGAGGGAAATGTGTGTAGTCTATAGCATTAACCTATAAGCTTTAGCTTATTGGTTAATTGACTACACTATTACATCCCTAATATGCTCCATTTTGGAGGTAATGTATGGTAGGGGTGCGGTTGAGGGGCTTGGAGTGTGGGAGGGAGGCTCAGGGCTGGGCCAGAGGATTGGGTTCTGAGAGGGGTGCTCCAGCTGAGGATGCAAGCTCTGGGGTAGGACTGATTGGGGATGAGGAGTTTGGGTGCAGGCTACCCCACAGCTGTGATAGGGAGAGACAACCCCCGCCCCCCAGCCCTCTCTCCTCACAGCAGCACTTGCCAAAGCAGCTCCAGAGCTAGGGAGTGGGAGAGGTGCCCCTCCCCAGCCACAGTCCTGCGTGCCCCAACTTGCTCCCTGCCTCTCTGCTCTCCAAGCCCTCGGTGCTACACACCTGCACAGCCCTTGATACCCTGCTGCCTGGCTGCACAGATTAGCAGGAAT